CCCCCCCCCACACACACACACACATACACAGTCCTCTTGGTGGCTGCTGTGATTAAATTCTTGACCCCCCCTGTTGCCTCAGATGGTGTGATATCCCCATGTCATGTGCTGGAGGGAAAGCTCACTCTTTCTCTCATGCTACAAGACAGATTAGTGTTTTCATTCCACAAACACCATCAACCTCAGCAGCCAGTCAATCAGCACACATCTGATTTTCCATGGTTTCCTTTGAACACATTGTGACATATTTTACATTTACGCTGAGCAGTGACCTCGTCCCATTTCACCTCTTCCCTCCACGTCACTTGTCTCTCCTCTATGACGTGCAGGGACCTTAAACTAACGTCAGTCCTGCTTGCAATTACCCACAGTGCCCTTATGCTGTCTGGGAAGAATGAAAAGGATTGACGTCTTTCTGACCATCTGCCTCCCTCTGATTCCTCTCCCATCCCTCACTCTGTCCTTCCTCGCCCATCTCTATCTATTCTTTGAGAGGATTAAGTGTGTTTGTATCTGCGTGTTTTTCTGTCTCATCAATGTGTAAGCGCAGCCTCTTGTGTAATGTGTGCATTTTCATTTGTGTGTCAGTTGCAACTTTGTGATCCAGTAATATCTTTGTCTGCAGGATTGTCTTTAGTCACCAAACTGACGCGTGTCCCCTTTGGATTGTAAATCCCTCCACAGATTGTACAACTCACTTCAACAGCGGAGAAAACAGAAGAATCACCAGTAGTTATTTTAAATAAATCTTGGAAATTTTAATACACATATGCACACAACCTGGACCAGTCTGAGTTAAGACTTGAGGATGTAGGGATAAGTGAATGCTAGTTTAAAATGAAAGGCAGTTCAGTGGGACAGAGGAGACTGGTGACGTTATTTTACAGCATTTAACTACTTGAAAATGATAAATGAAGAACGAGTAAATTTAAACATACAACAAAATCAATACAGCATCGTGCATATTGCTCATCATTTCAGTCACCAGACTACAACAAAAAAATACAAACCATAGATAATATAGACAATATTAACATCAACAGCGACTGGTGTTGGCGAGGAAATCGAGGTGATGTGCGAGAAGAGCACCAAGGATAAAAATATAGAGATGCAAGAAGGTAAAGGAATACAAAAATAATGTCTGCTGGTCATATGTTTCTATCATTTACACGAACCTGTTGTGTTGCTGAGGTCATTTGAAGCAATAGTTTGACATTTTGGGAAATGCACTTGCCTTTCTTGCATAGTGCTAGAGTGATACCTTAGATACCGCATGTTAATATGAAGCTATAACAACAGCTGGTTAGCTTAGCATTGCATAAAGACTAGAAACAGGGGGAAACAGCTAGCCTGGCTATGTCTGAGGGTGACAAAATCTACCTACAAGCCCTTCTCAATTCACATTGAATGATGCATCGTGGTTTTTCACACATTTATGTCCTGGGCTACTTCTTGGCTGCAACCATTGACTGGAAGTTACTGCTACCAACAAAGCTTCAGACGAGCATGGTGTTTATTATGACAATGAAAACAAAGCTCAAAAATATTAATGATTCATTAATCATTTTCACAACCTGGATTAGAGTAAAACTAATTAAGACATTTCCATTGAGATATGTATCACAAAAATTACACTATCAAGTGCTGTTGGCTATTTTTCATCCATAATAAATCAATAAAATCCATCTAAATCACCCTCAACAGATGATCTCTAGGAAAATGTACAGTATGTAATGTAAACACTGAACTGGATTTACTGAGGAGATTTATCGTTGTTGTCACATGAACAGGGTAGATTAACAAGCAAACATTGTCTTTTACATTAACCTCATGAGAGACGAAACCAAAGATCAGCGACAGTGATACACTCAAAACAACACAGAAACTTAAAATGCATGACAAACATGAAACATAAATGCCAGTGACGAAAACTAGATTAAACGTCCTTAGGTTGTCTTGACTGAAACTAACCAAATACATTTGACTAAAACTGAATCAATTAAGATTAACAGATATTTTTAAGGCTAAAACTAAACACAAATCAGGCTAGCTGCAACACCCCCAGTCTTAATCTTTGTGGTAAGCTAAGCCAAATATTTGCTGGGTTCATATTCACTATAAAGAGTTTAGAATAATTTCAGTTTTCTGACCTAACATTTTTCAACCAAACAAAAAAGCTTATGTCCAAAAATGTCAAACTATTCAGTTGTAAGTTTAACAATTTCACTTTCTGCAAAAGAAACTCAAAGTAGAAGAGAGGGAGCCGAGCAAAGGAGGAAGTCATACCTTGCGGTTGTGCTTTAAAAGGCTGGTAAAAACACCAACATACTTTTCTCATCAAGAGCACACCCATAATCCGACCCATAAAGTGAGAAAACCACGTAATAATGACGCTATAAAAGGGAATGAAATGAGTAAACTGGGGAAACAACTCCATTACAAAGGTGCTGTATATACGTTTTTGCTATCGCTCACCAATGTTTTCATGTGTTATGTTATATCTATTTATTTACATGTTTATAAGAAACATTGCAAAATGTTTTAGCTTTACACTAAAGCTTTCTCCAGCAGTGGCAAACAAGGCTTTTGATAAACTCTTGTTATGCTTCTACTTATATCCCTTCTTTCCTCCTTCATTGCTAACTAGCTAGCCCCAGCCCGTCCTCTCTCGTAATACCAATTTGAGATAGTGAGTCACTGTAGTGTCCACTCTGCCCTCAGTCCAACATGAGAGGATGAAGAGGTAACTCTGCCTAAAGGACGTATTCTAACCTCTTAAGCGATTGCAAAAGTTTATATACAGCACCATTTGTTGGGTTCAGCTAACCAGACAGCTAAAATGAACAGGTTGGTTTACAGGGTTCGTTTCAGGAATGTTACAGTGTGTTGTTATTTAAAATTATTGATCATTCCTGTCGATCTCACAACTCAAAACAGATAAAAGAAGTAACAATGCAACCAGCTAGAAATCCACATGTGACCTCTGCTGGGCTGGTGCGAAAAAGCTGAGCCGTGCACTCAAGCGGGAAAACTGTCGTACAACAGAATCAAATAGCTGGGGAAGCTTTTCTGCGGAAAAAAAATCCAATCATGGCAGGTCGCCCAGTGGAATGGCATTCCTCCGATCATAAGCAGTGTCATCACTCTCCTCGCCGTCGCTTACTTCACCCAAAACCCTCTCTCTCTCGTCCTCCTCCTCAGTTTCACTTTCTCGCCTCAGTCGCTCCCGTTCCCGGTCTCGTTCTCTGTAGCAGCGAGGCAGTGTGGGAATCTGAGATGGAAAAGAGACACAAATGAGACTAGGTAGACGATGCAGACTGTACCAAGTGACTTACACACTACACCTTTACAAATGCACACAAGGTAAATGTTAAAGGGATAGGGTTCGGAGACATATTCATTTGAGCTAAAAAAACCCCAAACAGGAACAGAAATTCAATTAATCTATGTAGCCTTCATATATCATAGACTCTGGCACCCCATATCATAACATGCTATAGCACAAGATACTGTATTAAGAGAAAAGCCTTCAAAAAATCTTGATATATGTAGCAAATTACTTTATTTATGGCAAATAACAGAATTTCTTAAGTATACGCAGATAATTCAGGTGTTTACTGTGTGTTCTCATTATTTAACAGATAAAGTAACGATATGACGCATCTCAGAATCTCTTCAAGGCATATCTAACGTAACCTTGATTCACAGGGGAACCGGTAGTCTGAAGCATTATGGTACAAAAAGAGGAAGCAGTGGTGCATAGATACCTGGTTATCATGGCTCGGCAGAGCGCAGTAGCCCGCCTCCGTCCTGCGGAGGAGGCGTGGTGAATGACTATGAAAAGGTCGGGGAGAATGGGAGCAGACAGAGCGCGGAGAGGGAGAACGGATGGAGCGGGGGGATGGAGATCGGACAGAACGGGACGGCGAGTGAGTGATTGAGTGGGACTGGGAGAGGCCATGATGGTTTTGTTTGGGTGGGCGAGGGGAGCGAGGTGGCAGGTCGGGCGGTCTAAGAGGGTCGACCAGGTCCATCTCCGTGAAGATTGGCGGTGGAGGGATGAAATCTAGCTCCTCCTCTGGTTGGAGCATTTGCATTTCTGCTGCGTCAATTTCGGCCAGCTCTGCCTTGGACAAGTGGTCCACGATGCCGGCACCAAACGAATCGCCCACCACATTGATGGAGGTACGCATTCTGTCACTGAGTGGACAAACAGTATCAGTGTCAGCGAGTGAAATGATGAGAATCGCCATGAGTTGAACATTCTTACAATTCCTCTCACAAATGTTTCTTTTTAAGTTCTTGAGGAGAAGCTGAGAAGTCATTCATTACTCATATCAGTGCCTAACAGACACCTGACTCACAGCAGCCAGTCCACAGCGATGAGCAGACTGATGTCCTGAGTGGGCAAGCCGACCGCCGTCAGGATCAGCAACATGGTTACCAGTCCAGCACTGGGAATACTGGCAGCTCCAACACTGGCCAGGGTGGCGGTCATACTGTGGAGGAGACAAGAAAGCAGAACCACCTTCATATTGAAACAGAGACCAGGGAAATGTATAATTAATGTGAAAAGTCAAACAAGACCTCGAAGCACAAACCCAAAAGAAGTGCATGTTTTGTGAACTTGAACTAAGACTACAGATAACAGACGGCCTAGACACAAGTTCTGTCTGAGTTTCATTGAAACATGCCTGATAATTTCAAAGTGATCCTATTAAGTTTAACTTTTGCCCTGTTATAATAATAATGATATATAGCACCTTTCACGGGACCCAAGGACGCTTTACATACAGGTACGTAAAGCATGTATGTTTGTGAGGACAAGACAGAAGAGTGCAGAAAAAAATGATAATAGAAAACAGGACAACTGTTGTTGAATAACTGTAAAAGTGACCAGACACAGTTATCACACACACAATTCCTCTTTCATAGCAGACATGCAAAAAAAGGAGAGTTAATTTGTTAATTGTGCCAAAGGTGAATCCACGTTAAAGAAAAATGAAAAAAAGTTAGCATGTCAGTAAAAGGACCACTGACAGAAAGACAAACAGACCATGGTGTTGTCAGTAACCAGAAAAGTCAGAGGTGAAACAACATAATAGTGGAAATCACTCACATGCTGGGTTGAACAGCCAATCAGAGAACTTAGCGAGTACTTTGGCTGCTGATTCAGCATGCCTACTCGGCTGAATGGCCGCCAAAAAACCCAATAAACTTGGTATATAAGAGCCTTTAAATACTGGATACCATTTTGAATCTTCAATAAAAAAAGCGTGTATGACTTTGCATCATACAGGGTGACTGCAGGTTTCAACAAGTTAAAATTAAGAACGTAATTAAAGAAATTTAAGACCTAGATCAGGTATGGTACACTTAGGTACACTTCACTGTAACTCAAGATAAGGTGAAATGTTATCTCTCAAACTACAGATAGAGACAATTGGTATCTACAGTCTTTCTCACAGACAAGCAGAGTGTCTGGAGATCAGTTCTGAACGGGTCAGTTATCAGTTCCACGTCAGTCTTGTTTGTAGTTTTATAACAGCAAGTTAATATCTGTGTCCTTGAGAAAATACTACAACACACAGAGACATTACAAACTATCACTTGCTGACACTGGTACTCATTTTAAAATGCAACATATAGCTTTAACATATTTAGGACTTTTTAAGAGCCAGTGGAAACACTGATAACTGTAGGTTGACTGGAGAGTTAGGTTTATTATAAGGTTAGAGTAAGTTAGAGTAAGTTGTATGTTTTTTGTAGTAGGTTTTATGTCCACAACAAAACAAAATCTGTTAATGTTGCCGGACTTAAAACCTTAATGCTCAGAAAAATGCAGCTTGTCATGAGATGTCTGCAATTAGAGGAATTAACAGTTCATGTTGGTCCCAGATGTGACTTCAGGCCAGTTTGGACACGGCTCAAAACTTTGATATTCACTGCATGGTGCTGTTCATCTGATCTCAGCGCTCCGTGTTCCCAACACAATCATTCTTGACAAACTGCAGCGCTTAATATCACCCCACACAGCACATGTGGACCTTATTTCAATAAGCACACAGAACGTTTGAAAATTAGATTTCAGAAGTTGTTGAAAGACCAACAATAAACAACATCAAAGTCCTGAGGATTATTTGTAACCCACAGCCACAAAAAGGAGAGCGCTCCATGCAGACTGGTTCCAATCAGATCTAAACGTTTTGTTGAAACCTCAAAAATGGGAAATCTCATTATTTTTTTAACTGCGTTCATTCATCTAGACTCTTCAACACAGCACACTAACTATATTCAATGCAGAACAGATCACATGAACATGTCTTTTGTATTTTGTTTCCACTGGTTACTTCAAACACTTAATTACAATCAGGGGAGAATTACATGAGAAATATTCAAATGCAACACAGGAGTTACACAGCATGAAGCCCAGTGGATTCATTAAAACTCTCAGTAGTTAAACAGATTCTTAAAACCACTTGAATCTGTTTGCAAATAGTTTTATGCACCATCCAATAAAAATGCTAAAATAAATTCCCCACCATCAAGTCTTTAACATTAAAATTATTTACACTTTAAATGTATTTCATTTGTTAAATTGTTCCAGATTAAAAACATTAATTGTGCACAGCAAAAGTAGTCCATGATTAACAGGACATTTTATTATATAACCAATACAAATAAAATAAATTATTTTAGGCTGAGGTTCCAAAACTGTTTTTTGCATAGCAAGACATCATGTTGTGAAACTGCCATAAGGGGGGGGGGGGGTTAATGTAACACACACGTTAGATCTAGTTGCAACAGCAAGAGCAACACTATGCATGCAGATACAGCAGAGAGCTAAATCAGGATCAGTTTTAAATACAGAGCCTTATAAAATGCTTTTAGACCATTTTTATTCAGCTTTTTGGTGAATTAAGAGAATTGGTTTCTTGCAGCCTGGTAGCAAATGTTACATGGCCCAGTTCAGTGACTTAAGGGGGACACTTTTTCAACTAGACCAATCACAAGTCAGTCTCAACTATCAATCAAGATGTTTCACCCCGTTTTTAGCATCAAGTAATCAAACCAAACTAATCAAAAATAATCATCACTGTGATAAGAACTAGCTAAAATAAGTGAAATCATTGTTGTATTTCACATGTACTTTGATTTTCTAATTTGGTGTATGTCCCATACACAAACATAGAGGGGATGAGTTTTATGACCTATACTGCAGCCAGCCACCAGTGGGTGATCACGACACTTTGCCATCCTGCTTGGGGACCAGCCATGTTGTCCATCCTTATATACAGTCTGGTCTGGGCGTTTACTGTCTATGGATCAAATTCTACTTTCTCTTCTCTGCATCTGGCCTGCCACTGGATGAAATGGGTGTGATTGTCATATTCTGGGTTTTGGGAAGTTTTCACAGTTGCACAGTTCCACAAACTTTGATGTCAGAAATGTGCGAGAGGAAGGAGTTTGCAAAACGACCTTTACTGCTTTGGACTTTGAAGACTGGAAATTCAGCCATGTTCCAGAACAAGAGCTACATCCACCATGTGCTTTACCTGACAGTAATAATCTGTCCGGCGTCCAGGGCGATGTCATTCATCTGGGCGATAAAGATGGCTGCCACAGCCTCATACAGTGCGGTGCCATCCATGTTAATGGTTGCACCTATGGGCAGCACGAAGCGAGTCACACGTTTATCAATCTTCAGATTTTCCTCCAGGCAGCGGAAGGTCACTGGTAACGTGCCTGCACTGAGAGCACAGGAAGAAAAGGTGTACAAAGAACAGGAACAAAGTTTCTGCTGCAGGACATAAAAAAGGTAGACAGATAATGACAGAAGTGCAGTGGTGTTGAAGAAGGTGAAGGATAAAAAAAAAAAAGTAGAAATTTGAGTCGCCTGACAGCCTCCTCCTGACAGCTGGTGGAGGCCACTGTTGCAATCCTCCAGCATGTGAATTAAAGGAATTTGAATCCTGGCCCTGCTAAGCTCAGGTCATAATATAATTAGAGAAAACGATGATAGGATTACCCATATTCACTAAAGCCTCAGTAATGTGCCAAAGTGACAGTTGGTTTCAGCAGCAATGCAGAATTCCAGGCTGGCCCAACCAAGCCGAGCCAGGCAGGATGCAGCGGGGGCCAGTTTGGCTGGTGACAACTAATCCAGAGGCTCAGACATTTACAACACAGGATCTGTCTGACATGGACTTGTCCATGATAGCCTGTGTTACACACATTTGGCTCTGCCCTCCTGATCTGTCAGTTTAGTTGTGTAAATACAGAATTTGCCTTTAGTCCTTTCAGATTTAACCCGAATGGCTGAAAGGGAGCAGCAGGCCACGGCGATCAATCATAGTTACTACAGCAGCTGCTCAAGGAATAGATGCTGTAAAAGAAACATGTGACACACATGTGTTAACACATGCCCAAACAGAGAACTTGCACCCACCCCCCCCACCCACACACACATAAACACACACACACACACTTCCTGCAGGCTGACCTACCTGCTAGCAGTGCCCAGCGCAGTGATCCAAGCTTGGAAGATTCCAGAGTAGAAAGTAAAGGGGCTTTTTCTAGTGATAGCAAAGAATATAGCAGGTAGGATCAATCCTCCGTGGATCACCAGGCCCACGATAACAGTCACCATGTACATGCCCAGCTGCCTGGCCACCACTTCCAGATCCCCGATGGCTGCAATCTTCCCTGCGATCAGAGAGGCAATGCCAAAGGGGGAGTACCTGCAAAGAGTCAGAGTCAGAGCTGCAATATCAGTTATGAACTTATTATTTCCTAATATAAAGTAATCTCAATAAAAGGGCACATTCTAGGGTTACACAAAAAATGTGCAGTTCATTAACTATTTGGTCTTCAGATTTCTTGTTTTGTTGGATGAACTGTCAAAAACCCAAAGATTTTGTCAATTTACTGTAAAACAGCACAAGGTGAGGCAGCAAACCTTCATATAGATTATTACATTTGCTTGAAAAATTACTTTAAAACTGACCTGAAGGGTCTGAAGAAAGTTTTTCAAACTGACATAGTGCTTGAAACCTAACAGTGAAAGTCTTTCCTCTTCGTATCGTCAGGAACGGATGGATCAAGTTCTCTCACCCTGCTGCTTTATTATTGATTCCATGATGATTTTATGATTTATCGGCAAAATACTTAGAGCTAAAGAAAAAGAATCATAATAGATTTTTTCTATTTGTTCTTCACTCATGTTAATGTGAAATATCAGACCAACACCTAATTAATCTATATTCATCGTCAAACATCTTTTCTCTGCTTGGGGACGTGACACATTCTTGGATCTCTGGTTTCCAGCTCTGGAGTGCAGTTGTTCATAAAAACAGGCCGCTGTGGGACTCATGAATTAAAGCGGTGTTTCCCCTTTAGGCTCTTCCTTGTGCAAGTCAAAGCAGGTCTCACGGTGGCAGCGGCCTGCTCGCTCAGGTCAGCTGCACACTGAACCCTGCGGCTGGCATTCACTGACAGTTGTTTGGTGGAGTATGTCATGTATAATTTGATGGATTTGTTCCTCGTATGATACATGTTTTTGTATACACTGGACTGTGTTTGCCGAGCTCCATAGGCCTGTGAGTAATCTGTTTATACTGAGTGAGTGATACGAAAAAGGACATAATTCCTTTGGTGTCCAGCTGCACACGTAGATGGCCTAGGAGAGCTGTGAGACAAGCATCCTGCTGTTTTTCTTCCAACCGCCTACCCGCTCCCTCCTTCCCTTCCCTTTCCTTCCCGTCTCTGAGTGCCTCGACACTCTCGCTCTCTCTGTGCTAATAGCCGGGGGCCCTGCAAAGCCTCAAGGCCTGCCCCGTTCTCTGAAGGCATGCTCTCACGCGCATCTTTCCAAGTCCTGCTGTCCCTCCTGCCCGCATTTGCCTTCTGCTCTGCTGCCAAGTGGCTCCTCTGTCGTTGGTGGATTCATTACATTTTGGAGATCTTCCACCCCGCCTCCCCTGGGAACCCACAACATTGATCTGGGCCCTGGCTCCTGCTCCTCCCCAACATACCACAGACTCCAGCATGTCCCAGGGAAACCCTCTCCCTCTCCCTCTCCCTCTCTCTCTCTCTCTCTCTCTGTCCTTCCATCTGTCTGTGTCCTTCACTAACAGTCTTCCCCCTCTTCCTTCCTCTCCTTTTCAGTCTTCACTTTGCACCGCTGGTTCTTGTTCCCACAATTTGTATCATTTACACCGTCTTCACCTTATCAATCACTGTCGCTGAGCTCCTTGTGTGGTATATTCTCCAGAACGTCAAAGCAATGCAGCCGCTGCGCGACATGAGCAAAGACAGACGCATGTTGTGTACGCAGCACACAAGTATGCACGGAAGAAAAACAAGACACTGACCACATGATCATGGAAACCATCGACATGATAATTTCATTGAGGATGTTGAAGAAGTCGCACATGATCTTCCCGCGCTCGCCCATCTTGCCCATGCAGATCCCGAAGGTGATGAAGAAGCCTATCAAACCTTGAGGAAGACACAAAGCAGCATGTCAGCGGAAATAACTGTGCTGTTCTCCATGCAAAAAAAAAAAAGGAATTTATATTTGAGCTTGATGACATGATTGAACATGAAGCAAAAGCTGCTCCATCCTCAACTCACCGAGAACGTTCATGCCCCATTTATACTCCAGTTTCTTTCTGTTCACTAAAATGGGCTCAGTCTGGTTTGATGCTGCGACCGGCACCTTTTTTAGCACCGTCTGAACCTGAAGACAGAACAACACTGTGACTGATCAGCTGTTCAGACAAAAACTGAACAAAGGAAAAAGCCTTATTTTGTTGTGTAAGCGAACAAAAGCTGCGAACAAAACAGCACAGTCAACTCTCAATTGTGTTTTAAAAAAAAAAGCCAAACAGAGAAGAGATGAAAGACAAATAAAGACGAATAACAGGAGGAGAGGAAGGTTAAAGGTTGAAGAGGGGAAGGACGATTCCTTCCTGCTAAAGCAATTATGGCTTTTGTGACTTCAATGAATCCCTGATGAGCACAAACAATAGAGGCAGTAAAGGAGAGATACAGACAGAAAAGAGGGAGAGGCACAGAGAAAAAGAGAAAAAGGAGAGGATACCACAGGGAGGAGAGAAGAGGGGAGAGAGTCTATAAGCTCATATTGAGCAGGGCCCCCTGTTCACCAGCAGATGCCTGACTGTGGTAAATAAGGATATGGTGTTACAGATGTAAAGAGATTAGCAGTAGCAGAAGGGCTGACCCTCACCCAGTCAAACACAGGCAACTCCTTCTAATCATTCAGACATACACGCATGACAGAGAGAAGGGGGGGACAAAAACACAGGATTTGGAAAGAAGAAGGCAACTGTCGCCTCATGATTGAGACTTGGATTATCGTTTAAAAATGATCAGCTTGGATAAACAGTAGCTGTCTCCGGAGTCCTTCTGCTCTTCCACCATTATTCAAATGAAAAATACTATAACAGGGCATTCAGATGGTAAATAAAACATTTTTTGTAAAGACACAATGTGTGTAGTCTTAAGCAGTTTTATTTTTGGTATTATTGTACCGCAATCACTCAATTATGGTTGATTTAACTCTGTTTAAAGAATATGCCAATTCTTTATCCAATTAATTGTTGTGTTTAAGTGTTTAAAATGTGGACAATATTTAAAAATGTAAATATCAACTTATTCAAGCTCACCTGAGTCTAAAGGGATTTTTTAATCAGTCGAAAATAATTTTAAATATAAATTTTTAAAATATTTAAGCTACAATGTTCAGAAATAAAGATTGAGGGAAAAACACAAACAGAAACAAACTGATGACATCAGCTTGTGATCGATTAAATTCAGTTGTATGTCTGTCAACTAATCACTGATTCAGCAGCAAAATAAATGTGTATATTTCTTCAGTGTTGCCTTAAAGTCACGCTAAATTGTACAAATTTTTGTTTTCTTTACCCTGGAATGGGCCCTTTATATTTACATTGGAAGCAAATCCTCTCTATGGAGGCCGCCATGTTTCTTTTACAATAGTCCAAACTGGACAAACGAAACATCTTTTGAGTTTTTGTGAAAACTGAAGGCTATTAATTATGCAAATTCAAAACAGGATGTCACTAAATTCTACACACTGAACCTTGAAGTCATGAGCTTTATAAATGGTGGTTGGTGAACTTTGTTACCTTGGACAGAGATAGGCAGGCAACTGTTTCCACCTCTTTCTAGTCTCTCTGCTAAGTTATGCTAACAAGCTGCTTACTGTGTATTTACCATATACACAGCTATTGATCCTGTTACCTTATGCTCGACAGAAAAATTAGAATGGTACTCAGTAGATCTGTCAAGATCCCCTAAATTCTATCAAGCCGCACAAAATATCTCACACTCAGATATCAGTTTTCTCTATATGCTAGATTCTTTTCTTCAAGATCCATGAATTTTATACTGGGAAATGGTAAAAATATAAAAAACGCTCTATCTCACAATGTTTTTCCAAATTGAGTTCTTTCTTGGCCCATGTCCCATCCTTCCACCCATTTAGTCAAAATCTGTTTAGTAGTTTTACTGATATACAAAATAATAACTGCTCCTTTACCTTGATGTTTACATTTTAAAGGCTACACCAGAAGGCAGCCTTGGTCTTATGGTCCCTTTGTAGCCAAAACCCTCTGATTTACATCAAGCCTCCACTCTTCACTGTTAACCAGCACATGTAGAAAACATCAAGTATGAAGTTTGGAGGACGAAAGGACGCTCACCAGTCGTTAACAACTTCCTGCAGCTCCTTCTTTATGTCAGTGCCTTTTGCAGACATAATAATTATTACAACTATGATCTTTTCATGAGAAATTAAAGGTACAGTGTGTAGAATTTTGTGATATCGAGTGTTGAAATTACATGTTGCAGCTGAACACCCCTCACTTCACCCTCTCCTTCCAAACATGAAAGAGAACCTGTGGTAGACTTCAGTTGTCATAAAACTCAAAAGGTTTTATTTGTCCAGTCTGGACTAATGTTAAAAACATGGCGGCCTCCGTAGAGAGGGTCCCCTCCATTTAAATATAGAGTATTTGAATATAAAGGGCCTTTTCTGAGGTAAAGAAAACTACAATTCATACAATTTAGATGAAATGAACTAGTGAAAACATCATGAGGATTATTCTACATTAAATTTCTGCCAATATTTCCCTTTCACCTAAATCTTACACACTGGACCTTTAAAGGGATATTTTAAATATTTTATGCAAATTTAAAATGTAATAACTGTGACAATAATTTTTAATAAACAGGTCCACTGAGGAGCACCTACGAAGCTCTTGATCAACCATTTAAACAAACCTATGACTGTATCACAATGTGCATGCATGAGTCAAAAATGTATGTTCCCTTAGCTGTTGACTAATTAAATAAGGGCTGAAGAAATAAAAACACCCAGCAAATTATAGGAAAAAAGACAGATTGAAAAGGTCTAAAGATAAACTTATGTTGCAGGATTTCTTCCTCATCCCAGGAACCCTCATTGGTTATAGAATTGCAGATGCTTGAAACATGCTGGACATGTTAAGGAACCTCTCATTGACGAGTCGTCATTATTCCATTTATATTCAGTTTGTATTTGATGCTTGCAACTCTACAGTGTGCGCAAATGAAGAGCCAGAGAAAAAAAGCCAGAGTATAGTACCTGTTGGATGCAGGCCTGCACCAGGTTCTCAGGGAAGAGGTTTCGGAGCAAGTCAAGGAAAGCGTCCAGGCTGTTGACTTCCTGGTTCTTCTGGACCGAGCTCGCCGAGCCTCCCCTCAGTTTGGGATTCCCCGGGTGGATCCCCAGCACCAGGATGACCCCGAGGATGGCAGCAATTATAGTGGTGGACATGTAGTACACCATGGCTCTACTACCCATCCTGCCACTGGAGCGGGCATCTAAACCAGCCAGCCCTGAAAGAGACAGATTAGTGTTTGCGTTATTCACCAATAATCAAAACGATCCCTGTAAACGTCCTGGAAGTTTGACACTTGCAGTTACACATGTTTATTTGCATTGTCCCTTTTTAATATTCTACCAAATAAAATAAAAAGGATGTTCAAAGCCATATAAAACGATTTCATTACTAATCACCCATGTTTGTTTGTTGGTTGGTTGGCTTGTATGTTTGTTTTTAAGTAAGATTACAACTGGATGGACAACCCTGATCACCAGTTCAATTTTGGTGCAGCCCAAGGAATCTATTTTTCACTTTCATTGTTTTTCATGATACATTGCGAAATTATGTTTTCCACCCTTTCACTGATTTCTCAGATATCAAATCACCTGTGATGAGACTCGAGATGATTAGAGGCAGGATGAGCATTTTCAGCATCCTCATTAGGATTTCTCCCGGGAAGGAAACCATCGTGAGCGTGGAGTTGTCTGTCACCTTCATGTACCGCAGCAGCATCCCAAACACAGCCCCCATAACGACACCTGACGAGAGGAAGGAGTTCATTATTCCTGGAATTTTCTGGTAATCGGTAGTGTTGAATTTAAGTTTTTGTTAACATAAACCAATGTACTTAAAATATTAAATGATTACTTTTTTGTGCTACAATAATTTAGCTAAATAAGTAGATTTCTCCTTTCAGGAACTATATGTTTCAAGTTTGTAATTTATTGGTAGACATACAGGCCTACTTTAGCAGACCTGAAGGATCCTACATGTAAGAGGCCTTTGACTAATGACAAACATGTAGCGTAATGTAAACAGGTTTAAATCTGGGTGAAAAATGAGGGACAAAAATAACAAACTTCTCGACTTTGTAGGGCTTTTTTTGAGACAAAGAACACTGCTACGCAGAAACATACCAAAGTGTTTACAGAGGCATACCAAAGACAACAACAAGCCTAAGATGCCTCATGGGAAAATGATTACGGAGTCCTACACTTAGGATTGTGCATTTTCTGCAACACATTTGACAATAAAACTGACCTCAGCTCAATCAGTAAAGGATGTGGGGATTTGGGATGTTAACCAAAAGCTGAAATTGTTCTTTTGTCAACAATTATAGCCTTTGAGCTCACTGGACCCCTGAGTTTTTAGAGTTTCCTCGTCCTTGCGTACCCATGACAGTGAGTCCCAGCAGCAGGTTGTGGGTGTTGCGGCTGCAGTGGCCTGCATCTTTGTATGCAACCTCTGTGTTGTCATCTCGCTGGTTTTCTTCTTTCTCCTTCTTGACTGTGTTGGACTGGTTGGCTGTCGTCTGGTTTGTCATCCTGCCTGTGGAGACAGTGGGAGAAAACATGCTTCAACATTCATCAGGGTGTGTTTGCCTGCACACTATTCAGCATTTCTGGCTCATTAACTAATTTATCAAATGTAAAGACTCTAGATTGTTTATAGACCATGTTAACAAAACATCTCTCCGGAGGCCAATGAGGGCTGGCTGATCTTAAATGGGGATTAGGGACAACCAGGGACACCTTCCACTCACCCAAACAACAACTATGAGTATTTGGCCTGGGTGCATAAAGGAAGTAAGGAAGCATGACTGCAGGCATCCCAAACACGGCAGGCGATGGCCAAACAGGACATGAAGAAATAACTTGAGAGATGTAATCTGTGCATCATCCCCGAAATGGGAAAGGCAGCATGCCAGGATCTAAACACAACACAATCAGGAGCTACTAACAAAGGAAGAAATATAGTTATGAATGCAGTTAAGAATGAGTCAGCTAAGTGGACCCTGGCTGTAGGACCATCTGTGACCAACAGGTGGGACAGGTCTGAACACAAACTTGAGTGGAAGTTACTTAAAGCTGGAATGTGGGACTTATATATATACACACGAGCATCCATTACATCCAAAACCTTTGCAAACAACCAGAGTTCTAAATCTGCAGTCTGTGACGACATCAAGTTACAGGAACTACGAGCGTGCTGGAAAAACTGAAGGCGTGTCCAAGAAAAGTTTCTGATACTCAAGATAAAGGAGGAAATAAAGTCAAAAACAAAGCAATCACTGGCAGGAACAAACACAGATTACTATTGGTATGGCTTTTCTTCATTTTAGAATGCTGAAAGAAGAGAAGAAGACTGAGGTCAGATACAGATTACAGGTTTGCATATGTTTACTACTTGGAGAAGGCTACTTTTACCTGATCTAAAAAAATATTATTGTCCTGAAAGTGTAAAAATGTATCTGTATTTGACAGTGTTTGGGCAATTCCTTTCACTGCCAGAGGGGGGAGACAAACGTTCTGCACTGCAGGTTTAATGGCTAAATCTATATCGAAAAAGTATGTGAAAGACTGAAGCTGCCGTCAAGCCAATTCTCTTCCTGTTTTTATTTGGTATTTATGTTTATATTTCCATGACGAGATATTTGCTTAAGGCTGAACATGTGGCATTTGATGCGCAAAATTGTGATGCAATGTCCTGTGAGGTATGAGCAAGGGGGCGCCACTGAGCTCTCATTCATGTCGTTTTTATATCTATATTTAAATAGCTTTGGAACCACAAATGTCTGAACACAGAAAAAGTCAGAGAACCAAGTCAATAGGATTCATCACCAGTGTAAGTACATACGGATTAAGTATGATGTGTTAGGGCTGGAGGATGAAACAACTTCAATAACTATATAAATCAAATTTTAATCAACATAAAAGAAGTACAAGCACAGTAAGGAGGTATCACTGATTTAACTTTTTATCGAGTGTTTGTCATAAAGCAGAGTTTAAAACCACAACCTCCTCTCAGGAACAGAAATCTTTAAACTTAACATAAATATGTCACAATTATCATAATTATCAACATTGAGTGATATGAAATATTTTATCTCGATGTAATTTTGGCCATATTTCCCATCCATATGATACGTCTCCAAATTAATGATCACAGATGATGTAGCTAAATGTGGTAGAAGTGAAAGAGTCAACAATGTTCTCATCAACACGCAGGTCCACATCCATGACTTGATTATTTTGAACTCTCAACCTTGAGCCATAAAACTGTCAACTGTTATAATTATTACTCAAAGTCTATTTCAGCTCCTGTTCGTCAACACAGGATTGTGACTGAAGCAATACAACTTCCCTCCAAGGCAAAGCCATCACCTACAACTTGGAGAAAGCGTCAACGAGTAGGAATGCATCCGCTGTCCAATAACACTTGTCCTTAACAGAGACCCCACCACCACCATCTCTAAACATTAATCATATGTAAACACATCTGGAGAGCAGCGCACCCAGCGCCAAATCCCTGTCAGAAGTATGAATGTCACATTTACAAACAGTCTGACTCAGTGAGACAATTGCAATCAGACATGATTATAATCCATCAGCTGAGTCGATGGCATTTTCAGCAGCAGCAGGAATACAGTCGCACACATTCCCCAAATGACAGTAGACACAAGGGAGCATGAAAAATGTTACCTACTAGTTTGTTGTCACGCTCGCTTTCACCTCCACTCTCTCATCTCCTGCTCTTTCTGGCCATATCTCTGTCCCTTGCTAGTCTCTGCAGCGGTCACCAGTCCACGATTTGAAATGTTATATTTTGGAGGCGGGGAATGCCCTGCCAAGTTTCAATTGCGGAGATATAATCCTCGTTGAACAGAGTACTGAGGAGAGGAGGGGGAGGGGGTTCCACTGTTATAGTCTTCACAAATCCTCTTGTCAATCCTTATGTCATTCTTCACATGAATGCTGTTTGGCAGCATCAGTCGACCACGTTCACCTCAGTTGACTGGGGGGGAATATATGCAAGGTTTTGACGGATTTCATATTCGGCGACCATGGTGGGCACATAAAATCCTGTCAAAACCTGATGGGCAAATTCAAATTTGATTGTAGATCATTTTAGTATCAAGGTTGCTTATTCCACGGCAAAACGGACATTTTAGAAATGCCGGTTATTCTGCAGTAGTATGCTCTTTAGAGTACCATAAGGATGATCTTTCAAATACACAACTGGAACGTCAGCAAGTAAAGCGCCCAACAGTCCATTTAAATTGAATCAAGCCGCACTAAATACCACACTCAGATATGTCACACCTGATTTTTTTCATCGGGAACCATACATTTTTCTCAAAGTTTTTTGAATTGCTCTGTCTCGCAGCATTAAAGAAAAAGATTCCTGCATCTGCCTGCTGATCCAGATCCACACCAAAATTCATTGAAATTCTTCCCTGAAGTTCCATCCTTCCACCGTTTTGTGTGGAAATATGTTTGGTTGTTTTTGTGAAATCTTGCCAACAAACAAACAAACAATCCAACCAACCAACAAGCTGACAGTGGGGGGAAACATAACCTCTTTGGCAGAGGTAGAAATTTAAAGTGTTGTCTGTTGTGCTACAAAATCATATAATAAGAATAAGGCTGCCTGTCATCATCTCTGGGAATGAAAGCTGGATATTAAACCTTTGATCCCTGAGCAGGTCAGAGGGAGGCCCTGAAATAATGATGCAACAGCATGTGTCCTGCGAACAGGGCGGCGCTGAGGAGTGTAAGCTGCAAGGACATACTCAAGGACCTGAAGCTGTTCCGTAAATCTGTCTTCCTTCCCCAACACACAGATTATTTTCCTGCTCCAGGAAATGTCAGAGCTGCCCATGGATGAAACGTAGCTGGCCTCTAGCACCCAGAGCTCTTACTGGGCTGTCCCAGTGGCTCTGTTCAGCAGAGGAAAATCAAAACCCTTTATGGCCTTTTGGGGTTTAATCTGGTTTCTACATTTCTAATGAGTTGCCTGAAAAGTTCTCAACAACTACAAGAAACAGATGCTGTTCAGAGCATCAGAGTCATGGAGCAACTTGTTATAGACTGGCCTGTTACGTCATGTTAAAGCTTAGCATCTCCAGTAAAATGCAGGGAGTCAAGTCAGCGAGTTCAAACTGTTTGGTCAGGCAGATTACAGTAAATCCTTGATTCCGCAGCAACATGACACAGGTATTACAACTCTGCAAGGTGGGCTGCAGCCGGAGAGGCACAACTCTTTGAAAGGAAATCTAGTCTTTGTGAGAGCTCTGGAAACACATGTTATTAGTGATGAGAGCCAAAGAGAGAAAGCAGAAGGGTTAAGGTAGGATGACTTCAAAGTTGGCAGGTACACGGCTGCAAGACACAGCGTATCCCACAGTGACTTTCAAAGTAATAGAAACTGGATAAACATGAGATCCTCAATGAATAAATATCGTGGCAGTCACTCAGACATATGATGATGACATATGCAGAGCGTGATAACCATCACAATCAGTTTCAGCCATGTACTTACGACACATCTTCTTAATTGTCATGGTTTCCAGGAGGATGGGCTGGCGATGACAGAATGAGTTAATCTCCCAGAAGAGCAGGCTTTGATTAATGGAAATGAGCCCAAGCTGCTGTAGATATAGGTGCACATACCATTGGGGCAGGGCGACACCGCAAAACTACCTCCGATATCAGCCTGGCTGTCACGGGATGGTCATGTTAACCCCCCACTCATTGTATCCACTTATAGTTGTCCACATTAATGATCCAACCAGGTCTTAAACCAATCACAGATGTTGATCCAAGGGATCAAAGGGATGCATGTTGGCTATACGTACAGATATTACTCCCCCCTCCCGTCCAATCTGCCTGCTTCTGACATGACAGTGATTCTTTGGCTAGCTCTGACTGTTTGTCATCTTTCTATTTAGCCTTTAAAGCCAAAACCAATAAAAGTGATTAATCATAGAAATTGGCATCAGCGATTAGCACATAGGAAACCTCCAACAGCAACCTCAATCATGCAAATTTAAAGATTAAAGTTAAAGATTGTTTTATGCCAAGCTGAGAGTAAAACATATACTGGATATTATTTATATGATGAGTGCTCACTCTTACTTCTAACACACTGCTGTTTGTACGATTCCATTTTTAGTTTACAGTTTTTTGTTTTAGTTTTTAAATTATAGCATAAATATGTATATTTGTTGTATGGTTATTGATTTGTGCTTTTTCTTTGTACTTTACATAACTACACATCATGTCTACCTTTTTACAGATGTTACTGATTAACTGATAATTGGTGAAATGATAAAATAGTAACTGGCAATGTTCTAATGTATCAACATCTAATGTTTGGGTTTAAGTCATTTTTCCACCAAGAAGTGAAAAATAGGCAAAAATATTTGCAGCTTTCGACTTCTTACAGACAATTTGCTGCTTGTCTCTGTTAGTGAAATTAATATTTTGGGGTTTTAGACATCTGAGGACATCATCTCGGACTCTAGGAAGCTGAGAAGGTTTC